AGCTGCTTGTAACACCACTGAAAACATTAGCATTAGAGAACTGTTCTTTTTTGTGGTATATCTAAAACTAAGAATACGATTATGTTTCATATTACACGATTGCAAGTACCAGATGTCTAGCAGGTATTATCTCTACTAGTTTATATAGTTGTCCGTAAAATTTTTGTAATATCAAATTAACAGTAGTAAGGCTGCTTGTCAGTCAAGCGTTTATTTGTGTTGCCTATCATAATCAGATGCTTCTGTTTTATGGCGTTGTGTTGCAGATATTCAAACTATTGACATTTGGTGTTGTGCCTCAACCATTTGGAGTACTGAATTTGGTGGATAACCATGTTTTTTGCATTCTAATACAGTGGTCGTTCAATAATTCATACAACAGAACGACTGATCAAGAAAAGAAATATAAATTCCCAATACATGATTCAACAATCTAACACAATAAAACATACAACCAAAGTCCAGGGGTAGAACCATTCAAATGGCATTATGACTCATAAAATACTTCGCAAATTCAACCTTTGTTTGATTGATGTCATCCTCGGTGTATTCCAGATTTCCCCGACACGCCCACTGAAAATCGTAGGAAAAAACCAGATATCTAATAAGTCAATCATAGAAGTGATGAAGTAAATATAGGATGCAACACATAAGAACTGATTTGTATGAAGGCATTATCCGTGATGACTAACACTAAAGAACTGGCCAATAATTAATACTCAAACCTTCGCTAGCATTGAGTAGTACACATTATTAGTGAACTATAAGAGGCTCTACTTAATGTTAAAGTCTCTCCTGATTAAAAACACCAGAACTGTACACAAAATAAAAAAAACTCTGTACAGCGCTATCTTAAATTAGCTTCAAATTAAATCTATGTAAAGAGCATGTATTAGAAATTGCATTTATCCAGAAATTCAAACTAAAAAAAAACACACTCCTAAATGATACACTGATGCAAAGAAGCACTTAATAGTGTTGAAACACGGGTTTATCGTGTTTTCGTACTAAAGCCGTGTTTGTTTTATGACAGATTTTGATAATGCCAAACCGTCGTGAACGAGACAAGTTGTTGAATATACAAGGCGAGAAATAAATATAAGAAGAAATCAAGAGAACAAGAGCTAAAAGAGATCAAGAACGAAGACCGTAGTCTTTAGCATTGTTGAGTCGGTCACAATGTGATCAAGACCGACCCAAGCTTTGCACTTTGGCTCTTTAGGCTAAAACATTTTTCATTGCATTTTACATATCATAAAAATTATTTTCAAACATGCTTAAACATAGTAAAAACACTTGGTGTTCGCCCAAACAAAAAACCAAGTCATCCGGGGTTCGGCTTTCGGAAACCGGCGTTCGGCATTCGGTTATCGGCGTTGGTTTTTGGCGTCCGAACCAACCAAGTGGTTTTCAACTTTTTATGATTGGTTTTTACTTCTGGGCACATTTAAATAGTTTTTCATCAAAAACGCTTCAAAAACCACCTTTCGTTTTTTGTCGTTTGATAAAAACCACGTGAAATGGCATAAACTTGGCTAGCCGTGGTTTTCACTTAAATGAAGTGGTTTTCGAGTCTTTTTTTGTGGGAATTATTTTTGAATGCATTTAAATGGTTCTCCAATCAAAACATCATGAAAACCACATTTCGGTTTTGTCTTTTGGTGAAAACCACCCGTGTACGGTGTTGACTTGGTCAACTGTGGTTTTTACCTTAACGACGTGGTTTTCAACTTACAAAGCTTGTTTTGACATCACAATACATTAAATAAGTGTTTTAAATACTTAGTTTTTACTTTGGAGAACTTTGCATTTTTCGGTCGGGTTTCAGCGCCGGTCGGCTAGGCCATGGTTCTGGGCTAGCCATCTACCCAGCGATGGTAGATTTCACCCATGCATGGGTAAGTGATCCCGGGATTCCAGAATCATGCCACCCAGCGATGGGAAGATCTTCCCATCGATGGGTAAGCAGTCCCTTAGCCAAACCAACTTCCAGAACCATGCCAAACAGCGATGGGAAGTTCTACCCATCGATGTTAAAGCCTTGGTGCAACATTACCACAAGGCAGAATGCCCTTACCCAGCGATGGGAAGCTTTACCCATCGATGGGAACCCAGCGATGGGAAGGCTTAACCATCGATGGGAAGGCATGACCGTTGCGAGTTATTTAAGG